AAATAATATGTATATTTTCGTCTCTCATTTATTATTAGGCATCAAAGAAGCAATGACAAAACTCTTGATTGAAACAATATTTTGTTATTTTTTAACTTTCATGTGTAAAAGTTTAATCAATCCATTTCTGTGATTAAATTCAAACTAAATATTATTCACGTACATTTATAACTAATAAATAATAAAATTAATTTGAATCAAATTTATATTTTTAAAAATTAAATTGTTTAATTAATGACGCTATTAGTTAAATTAATGACATATGTATATTAAAGAGCGGTGGATCTAAAAATGATTAGAAATAACTCAAATTATAATTATATAAATTAAAATTATACAAATTATAATTATAATTTAACATTGTTTTAACACTGTTTAAACGTTAAACATTCAATATTATTTCTGAAAGGCATCTATATTCGTGTAATACGACTATTACTTGTTGTCACGTCACTTCAAATCTCCCGCTTTCACTTCAAGGTATACTCGATATACTCCATTCGTCGTAACATCTTCCAGCGTCGCGTGCAATAGTGCAGTTGTCCAAGTTGTCGCCAGTTGACACACAGTTAAAATCGCATCCGTCTCCGTAACTGCATCCAGAGAACAGAGACAGTAACCCCTTGTTTACATCCGTTTAAACGAGAATAAAAATCGTCACGCCTCCCGTTTGAGAATTCTGGAATCTGGACAAGTTTTATCAGACGCAGGATCGGTCGTCGCGCAATCGCGTTGTCTGCATTAAAGGGCGCTGCCGCTGGTGGGCTGGTCAGTGTCATCAGTGAGAATAGTGGGACGTTCGCGTCTGTGAATATTAGATTTCAGAGTGTGATCCCGTGTACGTGAGATTCGTGAGGCAGGTGAGGCTCCTCCGGAGCGGTCTCTGAATTCTTGCATCCACACGACGGGTGACGGCACACGGTACGCCCATCCGCAGTGACACCGCGACGCGTCATCGAGTAAGCCCCCGAAACGGGGCCCGTCGGCCGGGTCGTTTCGGTCGAGATTGACATCATCGCCGTTAATTTTGGCACGCAACTTGTCAATGAAAATCGATCCTGAATTATCTGGGTCAGAGGGCATCAGCCACGTTGGACGCTCGCCGAATTTAAACGCCGGGCACATCGATACGTTTGAATCAGTCGATCGCGATCGAACGGCCGGCTCTGCTCTGGCTGATAACGCCTCCGTGATAAGAGAAGTCGGTCGCGTCGACGACCCTCGCGGAGCGGGCGCGGTCCGTGTCGACGGCCTTTTGTACCCTCGCCGACAACGCGCCCTTTGAATAATTGATTCCGGTCGACCGACGGGCGCCGTGATAATTAGCACAAGACGTCGATAACAGCCTTCCCTCTCTTTGCTCGCGTTACTGAGATCGCTATCCGCAGAAACGTTTTATCACGCGATTGTATTGTCTTGACCGCTTATCACTGAATGATTATTGCATGAGATTTGAGAGGGAGAAATTAGTTGAGATAATACTTAATTTCTGCGCGAATAATACAGAATAGTTTATCGGGAATAGGCTAGAATTTTGTAAAATGTCGAGGAGACACTCAGTTGTTGACCAGTCACCATGGGATGATTTACAGACTTCTTCATCGACCAAGACAACCACCATGACGACAGCGGCCAAGCTGTACGGCAAGGATCTGAGCGAGTATGATGACATTGACGTGGATCAACTGCTGGCAGAGCTTACGCCAGAGGAGCTCAATATATTGGCCAAGGAAGTGGATCCTGATGTAAGTCTGTTTACTTAAAAATACTGTTTTATTATATTTATTTTATTATATTTATTTCCTTTGGGATACTGAATCTATATTACATTTATATAGGACAGTTTTATGCCGCCCTCACAACGTTGCAGTTATGAATGCAATAAAAGTCCTACAGGGCCATTGAATCGCAAGAAGCTCATTGAGCATATCAACAAACAAGCTTTAGAGACACCTGATATTCCAGAACTGAAGCCATATGTACCTGGTGTAATTAGGGGCAAGAAAGTGAGTATCGGTAATGTCCCACAAATCGTTGCATTGGCAGAAAAATGACATCTCAAAATTAGAAACTTTTCAGTAGAGTCTTTTTGAAATTCTAAATGTTTTAATTATAAAATGTTTTAATTAGAAATGTTTTAATTAGAGTAATTAATATACAATTTCTATAACTTGATTTTCTTTCCATGTTATATTTTTAATTAGAATGTATTCTTTGAAATTATTTCATGAATTTTTCAAATTTGAACATTGCAACTTTAGTGTCATGTCAATTTCACTCTTTATTAGAGTTGTGCACTTTTCCATATAAATTAGCTATTGTACAAATGTGTCTTTTCTACAAGAATATATTAATTTTTAGAGTTGATTTATTTTTTTTTATTATCTAAAAAATGCTAATTTTTTATTTATGTTATTTTTCTATCAACACAGCGAAATATATGGATGATAGTTAAGTAATCCTAGTCTTGAAGCCTAAATTTGAGGTTATAGTTGGAAAAGAAATATAAAAGAGCTGAAGTCAACATTTCCTGGTGAAAAAAAAATTTACAAAAAGAAAAACTACATATATTGAGACAAGATCTTAAAAATTCTTAACTTTTCATAGATATTCCTAGTGGTACATAGAATGGCGTTATTTGAGGGTGGAAGATTTCTAGGTTTTTTTATACAAATATCGCAGCTCCACTATGAATATTTACGATAAACTAATAATTTTTAAGATCTTGTCTCAATCTACACAGATTGTATTGTAGATTTTCATAAAAGTTTTTCCGCCATAGTCTAATTGAATAATACTAATAAAATAAATTTTGCATAATATATTAGTAAGCGAATTATATATACATCATATAATATAATATTATTTATTTGTTTTAGTGGGTACCTCCGCCACAAGACAACACGAAAGAAAAGGAGGCAGACGAGCAGATCGCGATAGATCTTGGTGAAGAGTATGAACAAGCGCTTTCAGCTGCCACCCAAGAAGAAATCATTGATCTTGCTGGTAAGAAAATTGATCTTTTCTGAAAGCCCTTTGTATCAGAATAGAAAGATAAATAATCGAGACTATCTTTTCCATCCAGCTATTCTTGGATTTCATTCTATGATGAATCAAGATCAGTATCACGCGTCTCTACTGAATTCTGGACAGCCAGTCGGACTTGGTTGGGACGGTGTGACGAAGGCTAGTCAACCGAAAATTTATCCGATGGAACCGCCTAATGATACAGACGTTGACGCTACCATTAAACAAGTGCGAGACGATGATTCCTCTCTAACTGATTTAAATTGGAACAATATTAAAGTAAGTATCATCGATTATACTTATTGTAAGAAGAGAATTATGTTTCATGCTAAATTAACGCTGGTTTTGTTACAGAATATTTCAGACGAAAAATTCATGCAGTTATTCGAAGGTTTGGAAATGAACACACATCTCGAATCGTTAAGTTTAACCAACGTTGGACTCAATGACAAGACCGCGCAACGACTAGCCGATGCCATAGAGAAGAATTCGACACTCAGAGTACTCAAGTATGCACAAAACGATATATTTTATGCATCAAATTTATGTTGTTAATTTCTCATTGCTTTAATGTAAAAAAATATTTTTCTTTAGTGTGGAAACAAATTTCATAAGCCCGCCTGTGATAGTAAGGCTGATCAGATCCCTCCTTAAAACAAAATCAATCGAAGAATTCCGATGTTCGAATCAGGTAGATTGTCATATAAACTTACGTGCACAAATATTTTCTGCAAGAATAGCGATAATAAGATCTAACGAAATATTCGCATTATTTTTCAGAGGTCACAAGTATTGGGTAACAAAATTGAGATGGAAATCACACAATTGGTAGAACAAAATCCGACGTTGTTGCGACTCGGGTTGCATCTGGAGTTCAATGACGCTAGACATCGCGTAGCTGCGCATCTGCAACGCAACATCGATAGGAGTAAGTATAAAAGGATACCGCGATGTCGATATGATTAATAATATTCATTATTGCTCAAGTAGCCTATACAGAACAAAAAAATGTACTTTTAAGAATGAAAAAAGTGTTTTAGAAGTAATTAGCATTGATCGAAGATAATTAGCATTAATTTATGTACTTGCGTAGCCAATTACAAACGTAAACAATCGCTTCCAATTATATTTTAGCATGAATTATGATAGAATTTTGATAGGGATATCATTACAGAAGTAGCTGTATGTGTATGTCTTAGAAGGTTGAAATAATTATTCTACACTTTTACGTCAAGTGCGACGCTCCATTCACGGGTCACCGCACAATAATCTGAACAGGTGTCACAAATTACGTTAGCAGCGCAATGAAGCGTTTCACGAACGCATTACGTAGATACCATTGTTTCTATCACGATTATAATTGTACTATTAATTTTTCATTTAGATGGGAGCAATTGTATGGGGGACTATGGAGACCACGTGACGAAATGCTTCTAACCTTTCCGAATCTGCTTCGTAGTTTCAAATAGCGCTTTATTTAGTACATTTCATCATTCATCCATTCATCCCGCTATATTCATTTATTACTTTTCTAGTTAGTGACATATAGAGGTAATTATGAGATTTCCCAGCTTGTTTCTTGTTCAAGTATGGAATTTTCTAATTTCTGACACAGTGTTTTTCAAATCCTTAGTTTAAAATTATTGAAAATATGTGTAAGATTTATGAAGATATATAAAATATCTTAAAAATTCATTTTTATTTGAAAAACGCTGTTTTTTTCCTCGAATAACATAGCTACCTCTCACGTTATGTTTTGAATCCCTTTACTATTACTTTACTATTATTTTACTCTGTTTTTTTTTATTATCCCTGTTTAATTTATATCTTGTCCTCCCGCGCTTTTATTAAAGATACAAATAAAAAAAAATGTATTAAGCGGTGCACCACATGATGATCTGCTTGTTTTTCAATTTTCAGTGAAGCACAGAGAAGCGAAGATTAGAGTAGTTTAATTTGGTATGAATTTATATTGACCAATTTTCTTTAAATCTTTAATCAAACGACTTGTAACTCGACTAATCATCGGACTTACGCTTAATCAATGTTAAATGGCACAGCCATTTCATGCTCTTGATTATTTAACAAGACGAAGTATTTATTTTTGCAGTTGATACGCTTAAGTTATGCTGATATTTACCGCGTTATCGCTTATTGTCAAATAGCACTGCTAAGCACATTAACAAACGATATTCGCATTATTTTATCGCATTATTAATGCTCGATTCTATCAATAGATTAAATTTTAATTTCGGTTTAACTTACTCTTCATACTTTTCTAATTCTTAGAAAAAGATGAAAAGTTAATTGAGTCAAGTTTAAAATTAAACTATATTAGTAGAAACGGGAAATTAAATCAATTTAATTTCCAAACGAAATTGCAACCTAATTATTTAAATTATATTCAAAACTGTATTCTCCCTTTCTTTTCCTTTATAGTATATATCATTACAAAAATTATTTTCACTGAGAAAAAGTTGATTTGTAATTACTGCTCTATAATTATAATTATTACTGTTATAATATTAGAAATAATAACTATATATATATAGTTCTATCAACAAATATATATATAT